AAACCCCTAAAGACCATGGAAGTATTCACGCAAGTCAAGGTGTGCATAGAGTTTGTAATTAGAAAGCACTAAATGCAAACTTAGGTCTGGCTCCTTCTGAGTCACATACATCTTAGTCTGTGTATCTCCTTTGCATCTTTGCCCAAACTCTATGTTCTTTTTAAAGTGAAAATGGCCATAATGAGTCTTTAAATCAGCCTTTGTAGCCAAAAAGCTTGGCAGTACCTTGATCATTTGTTCTTCCCGATTCTTGGTAGAAGTCAGAGTTCTCTTTTCCCTACTGGATGTTCCATGCTTGCACGTCTCATGCATTGGACTTGTAGTGGGAACACCATTTCCTGACCCATCAGCTTCCCAGGTGAGTAGCAATGATAAGAGAGGACCTAGCTCATTTCAGAAGCATATTTTTAATTAATTATTTATTTTTTAAAAAATTTAGTTTATTTATTTGACAGAGAGAGAGCACAAGCATAGGGAGCAGGAGAGGGAGAAGCAGACTCCCCACTATGTGGGGAGCCTGATGTGGGGCTCAATCCCAGGACCCTGGGATCATGACCTGAGATGAAAGCAGACGCTTAACGACTGAGCCACCCAGGCACCCCCAAGAAGGGCATTTTTCAATTGACTTAAGTGCATTGAGCTTGTCATCCCTGTTGGATTTGGCTACCAGCTTGGTTCATTGAAATGAAAGCAGATCCCACGCTGACTTCTGTCATGCATCAAACGTTTGTATCAGGCAGAAGGCGCAAGAGCAGTCCTACAACCTGCTCCCATGAGTTTGGGAAGTCCCAGCTGTCTCTCTCCAGGGCACAGACAGGTAGTCCCCAGACTACCTGACAGGTTTACTTGGGGCAGGTACCACAGCATTCAGCATGAGGATTGGCCCCCCTACCTGTCAGATCAATGGCCAAGGGGTGGAAGAACCTTCTGAGGAGGCTGCAGATGTTCTATTTTTTGATCTGGGTGGTGATTATTTCAGTATTTGCAAATGTAAATTTCATAAAGCTGTCTGTGTGCTTAAGATTTGTTCACTTTACTGTATGGAAGTTATGCTCAGTAAAAAAAAGAAATAAGGGGGAAATAAATGATTGTCCTTAAGTTGTTCAAAACTTGTGAGTAGGAAAACTATTCTATTTTATACAAACCCCTTGAGTTAGAGGTTTTCCATGGAAGGGTCACTGCGAAAGGAGAAAGCCCCGCAGCTCTTTCACAGGTCCCCGTACCCCTGAATCAGGGGCCTTCTTTCCTGGCCAGTATCCATCACCCCTAAGGGGTCCGTCTTCCCTATTTTACTAGGTTGGCAATGCGAAGTCAGCTAGTTGGAGTAGGAGACACCAACCTTCCGTGTGACTCCTCTTTGTTAAGGTCCTCTGTCGTGGGAATCCTGTCAGGGTCTTCTCTCTGAGGACCCACAGGTCAGCCGTTAGGTTCTCCAAGGTTGACACAATAACTGCCTCATTCCATGGGACACCCTCATTCCTGGGACACCTCGGTCTCAGGCCTCTGTTGCCTTCACCCTGTTTTAAGTATTTCCTTTTCTCAGAATTTGACCTCTTTTCCCCTTCACGCTGTAAAGAACTGAATTTTAACTGGTGATTTTAACTGAATTTCTCATGAGGCTAGGCTGGAAGGTTCTGGGGGATGAAACAAGATGTATTTCCCTAGGTGATAATCCCAGACTCACTGGGCGATGGATGTGGGAGAGGCTGGAGTCTCACCCTCTCTTTACCCTGGAGGAGAAAAAGAGGCTTGTGGTGAGTGCAGAGGCCTTACCTCAAAGTACCACCTTAAATGAGTATGGGGTTTGGCCGGCTCCCAGCCCTGGCCCTGGTAGCTCTTTCCTCCAAGGTGAAATTTGGTGGAGTGAAGCCATAAAGACGACCCTTTGTATCAGTTGCCTCTGGGACGGGGTGATTGTGTTTCTAATTTGGCAGTTTCAGAATTGCTGGGACTCTCTCTTACCCGGGTATCCCTTTCTGCCCCTTCTGCACATGTTACAGACCACCCCTCGTGGTGTCTCTTGTCCCGAGCCCTCCCTGTCAGAGCCTCGGCTTTTAAAAACATGACAAAAATGCTGGCGGACACACACAGAAACCCTTTGCTGGTGTTCTGGATCTGCTGTGGAATCGGTTGTCATGGCAACGGCTGCCCCCACACGCAGTTAATCGTTTGGGGTTCCCGTCATGTTCTCTTTGCCCTCTCTTTCTTCAACAGCAACGGCCAACATGCTATTAAACCAACTATTAATATATCCGTACAGCCTTTCTTGGCAGTTTTGAACTCGACCGCATTGGCTTCTAACTTCGAGTCCAATTAGTCACGCCCCACAAGCCAAGCTAACTTTGTGAAGAGGCTGGTGTTGGTTTGGTTTTATTTAGTCTTAGTTATTGTTGGATCCAATATGTATGAATACAGAGATTTGGGGGGTTTCTTTGAAAGCAGCATACGAATTGAGTTCTCTGGCTATACACTTACTTTAATTTTATTTTCTGACCTGATACTTTTCATTGACTTGGTTTTAGTTGATGGCTTTGGCATACTCATTTGTTTTTGTTTTTATTTAAATCCCAGTTAACATAACAGGTAATATTAGTTTCAGGTGTACAATCTAGTGATTCAACACTTCCTTACAACACCCAGTGGTCATCAGCATACTCATTTTTAAAGAACTATGTGTCCATGAAAAGCATAGGAGATTGAGTACTTATTAATGAACCAAAGGTTTAAAATAATATCTAACTAGCTGGGTCCTGGTTACATCATGTTATAATTATATAACATGCTTCTTTTAAAATTAAGACTATGTGAACACTAAGAACTAAATAGATTGAAGATATATATCTTCAATCTGTTTATTATATATAATATATTTATATAATATATTTATATTAAATTATATATTTATGTATTATATGATATAATCATATATTATATATTAAATATATTTATGTAATATATTTATTATATATGTAATCATATATATATATATTATATATAATTGTTGTTAACATGCATGGGAAATTTACAGAGTTTGTTTGAACTTAGTGTGTCAAATAAAAGGCTGGTCTTCTAAAGCCAAAACCAAACATGTTAGTCACCCTTGACTCAGGGCTGCGGATGAAGGCAGTGGTTGAAGGAATGGGGCAGGGCCTCCGTGAAGCTGGCTTACGATGTGCCCCCTCCTGAATCTTTCTAGGCAGTTCCTCAGTTCTGCTGGGTCCCAGAGTTGCGCAGTAGCTGTTATCACCACACCCAGCTATTAAAGGGTGATCATTTCCAACACCAAGGTGAAAGGTCTGGCGTCTAGCCTGAACGCTGTCTCTTGCCAGCTGCGTGGTTGGGCAAGTTACCTAACTTCTCAGAGACTCTGTTGTTTCCTCTGTAAGAGTCCTCCCAGCAGACTGTTGATTAAATGAGATCATGTGTATGGGTAACTCTTACTATGGGACTTGACAGTAGGTAGTGTGGGCACTCCAAGGTGATTATTGTTTCAGTTACTGGGATACTATAGACGATGTGGGAAATTCTGTTTTCCTTCATAGTTTTGTCACACTATGTAATGATGTTTTAAAAGATGTCTCCAAACCTTTGGTAGAACAAATCTTCCACCCCATCCCTCCAAAAAACAGTTGTGTGTGTGTGTGTGTGTGTGTGTGTGTGTGTGTGTGTGTGTTTGTGTGTGTGTGTGTGTTTAATTATAGTGAAATACATATAACATAAAATCAACGTTTAGCCATTTTCTGCTATAAGTTTAGTGACATTTAGTCATTCACAATGTTGTACAACAACCACCATTATCTAGTTCCAGAACATTAATCACCCTAAAAGGAAACCTCATAGCCATACCCTATTTCCCAATTCCCCCAGCCCTTGGCAACCACTACTTGGCCTTGTGCCTCTATGGATTTGCCCACTGTGGTTATTTTATATAAATAGAAACATACATATGTGGTCTTTTCTGTCTGGCTGCTTTCACTTAGCATAATGTTTTCAAGATTTATCCATGTTGTGTCTTGTATCACTTAACTTCATTCCTTTTAATTCCTGAACAATGTTCCATTGTATGGCTATGCAGTCCTCGTCCATTTGGGCTGCTATACCAAAATGCCACAGATGGGTGGTTTATAAGCAACCGAAATTTATTCCTCCCAGTTCTGGAGGCTGGGCACCCAGAATGAGGGTGATGGGCAGAGGGCCCTCTTCCAGTCGTGGAGTTACTGTATCCTCACATGGCAGAAGGGGTTAGGGAGCTCTGTGTCATCTTTTTTTTTTATAATTAATTGCATTCATAAGGGCTGTGTCCTCAGGACCTAAGTACCTGCCAAAGGCCCCAGCTCCTAACACCATCACATTGAGTTTAAGATTTTTAACACATGAGTTTTGGGGGGACCCAGACATTCAGACCGCAGTGTACACCATATGTGGTTTTTCCATTCATCGGTGGATGGACATTGGGTTGTTTCTACCTTTGGCTTCTGCCAGTAGTGTTACCGTGAACCTTCTTGTACAAGTTTTTGTTTGAACACCTGTTTTCAGTTGGATCAGATGAAAATTCTGCTTCACTTTTTTAAAAACTACCGAACTCTTTGTAACTATGCTGTACCATTTAATGTCCATACCAGCAATGCCTGAGGGTTCCAGTTCCTTCCCATTCTTGTTATTTTCCATTTTTTAAAAAAGCTATACTTATCGTTTAGTAGGTATGAAGTGGTAAATCTCATTGTGGTTGAGATGGTTTTTTAGAGTTCTGATTTTGTATGTGTCTGGATTAAAATTTTCTTACTACTGTTCTTAATTTTGGCATATTGCAAAACTACATGAAAAACCCATTATACATAATTTCCAGTAAAAGATGGGTGTAGAGCATCTTTTCCTTCACAGCTCCTGATACAACTAAGCATAGTGGCTCCTGTGATCTGTACTGTAGACAATCGGGAGCTAATTATAGATGGTGTTTGGTGCCTCTGATCTTCTCTGTAATCCTTTTCTTTTGCTTTTAGAGATTTCCTCTGGGTCATCCAAAATGGTTTTAAAACGTACTGGATAAGAACTGAGCCACCTGCCTGTGTGGGACTTCTGTACTCTCGGCTCCACTGTCTTCGGATGGCATTTTGACCGCACCAAAGACAAGTGACCCACTGCTCATGATGAGTGACGAGAAGAACCTTGGGGTGTCCCAAAAACTGGTCTCACCTTCAAGGAGCACAAGTAGCTGCTCCTCCAAGCAGGGAAGTCGACAGGTAAAGTTTAACCAATGCAAATTTTAAGATGCAAATTTATACCAAAAAATTGGCCGATTAAGATGTGCGCATTTACTGGGGAACCCCTACTTCTCAGCAGAAGAGCGTTTGCTTTCAGTCATATCTTAATTACATGAGAAGAGTAAACTTTAGGTACTTTTAATAAGGCAGCTTGAATGCTTACCTGATGGGAAGGATTTATAGTTGGCTCTTTGCATTATTTTTTTCCAATCCTTGCAACTGTCCTCCAACACAGATATGCATATCCCTATTTTCTCCCTGAGGAAGCTGAGTTGGACCAACTGAGTTATTTGCCAAAGGATACACAGCTAGCAAGTGGCAGAACAAGAGTCAAAACTCAGTCTGACTCCAGAGCCCACACTTTCCTTTGTACCATACTAACAAAGATAAAAAAGCAGTCACTGTTGCAGTAAGTTTAATATCCTCCTGCCCTCCTCTACCTTCCCCTTCACCACAGATTGCCATGTGGGTGACTCTGAGTCTCCCCTGCTTTCTTTCACCCCTGGGGGAGGGAATTAAAGCCACAGAGAAGTGGTCAAAGGAATTCAGTAGGAAGAAGAAAGAAGTGAAACAAAGAGCTGAATATGTAGCGCCTGAGTGCCAGTCGTAATTATATGTTATTTCTTCGTTTTCTTTCTAAGAACTCTCTGTTGGCGGAATTCACTGGCTTTAGGTCAGTGGCAGTAAATGCACGTTAATCATTATAATTGTACCACCTTCAGTGAAGTAGAGAGTGGGCCGTCAGGAAGCTGTGGATTCACGACCACAGTGGTCTCTGAGCCTTTTCAGCATTTGCTGGCTGTGCTGGCATTGCCTTTCCTCCACGGGAAAGCTCTGGCCTAAGAATTGGCCCAGAGTCCTTGGTTCCAGATTTGGAAGCAACAATCCGGCAGCCTCCCACTTCAGGCATGCCCGCACATTCTGACGCATCATCACAGGTCTCTCCATCTGAGCACTGCCTGGGACAGGGAGCTGGCCACTTCCCAGTGCCACTTCATGTCATTAGAATCTACGATTCTAGACAGGTCAGATTTTGCCCCAGGCTGGACATTTGGGGAGCTCTCCAAGATCTCCTGTGAGGGGTTAAGAAGACAAAAGATTTTTTTAGCGCTGTAATCACTTCTGTCTGGGGTTTTAAAAAAATGACTAAAATTAGTCCTTGGCTAATGCATCGCTGCCCCTTTGGAGTTCTGGCTTCAGAAGGGTGAGGTAGCTCACTCAGCTTTCTGTGGGGGTGCTTCTCCCCCTGAGCCGAGAGTCCGATGGGGATTAGAGCCTGGATGTGGGATCTTTCCCTCACCCTTTGTACCTAGTCGCATCTATTGCTACGTCCTTCTTGGATAAAGAGAAGGAACATGATTCATTTAAATGGCTGGTGCTTATAACAAGTATAGGAATCAGAGCCGTGCAGTGACCTTCTAAAACTGAATACTACAGGAATTTTCTTTAGGTGTGTTACTTGAATTGATGAATTTGGTTTTCGCACAGCTTCTTCTGAGCTTGTCCTAAAGATGGAGAGGAATGTGCACGAAGCCTCAATTTTTTCCTGCTTAGAATGGATGGCCATTCGGCTATTCATTCATCAAATGCTCATCTTCTATATTTAGGATCTCCCACTTTACAGTACATGTAACTATGCTTTATAAACATAAACGCTTCTAGGCAGGGCAGGTGGAGAATTTAATAAGTTTGTTCCAACTCTAGACTGAATCTAGTTCTATAGGCCATGTTTAATTTCAGGGACCATTTTCTTGTTCTGCCCACTTTCCCATCCTTCTGTCAGAGAGAGGTGTTCTGTCACAGGAGTGGCTTAGCTCTTCCGTCCGTGTCATCCACCTCGGCAAGCCGTGTCCGTTCCGCCATCACAAGCTGTCCCAAGGTCGTCTTTCATTCTCTAAAGGTGCAGGCACCTTGGAAGTTCGACCTTCATGGCTCTGAGGGAGCAGAGACGTATCCCATGGTCTCACAGATGCTAAAGATAGTAACACTGTGTTTCTAGTCACTTCACTGGAAAGTATGAGTTCAACACTTACAACTTCAAGATTTATATAATAAGAAATTTAATGTGAGGAATGTTGAATTCTAGCTGATAAAGATGATCTGTGCAACAACCTACTTGTTTTTTAAAGCTTCAGTTTAAAGTCACTATGAGGCTATTCTTTTCATTTCATGGTGGGGAAGGGGTGGGTAAGCCTGATGGTGACCGTGTTGGACCCTCCTAATGCTGGGTTTTCTCCTGTGCTTTGGAATTATGTTTTAGAGGGTCATCTTGAGTTTGTTTCCCCATGTTCTTTCCTAGCACCCACCCTGCCCTACCTAGGGATTTGCTATTACCTGCTTCTTACCTCCGAGGACCCCAACCAGAGCCAAGGGTTATATTTGCATCTGGAGGCTTCTGTTTCATGTCAGTGATAGAATGTCCAAGATCCACTGCCAGGCCAGCATACTTGGCCCAAGTCTGATTGTAAGGCTGTGTCTGCCTTCTGCCCCTCCCTGGATAAGGCAAGGGATTTTTTTTGTTTTGTTTTGTTTTTTTTAAAGACCCCATTTATTTATTGGACAGACAGAGATCACAAGCAGGCAGAGAGGCAGGCAGAGAGAGAGGAGGAAGCAGGCTCCCTGCTGAGCAGAGAGGGGCGGGGCTCGATTCCAGGACTCTGGGACCATGACCTGAGCGGAAGGCCGAGGCTTTAACCCACTGAGCCACCCAGGAGCCCCGATAAGGCAAGTTTTAAAGCCCCCTTTCACTGTGGTGTGGAGCTCCCCCCTCCACATTTGCTTATTTCCAGCTGTGAGCCTAACTCAGGTCCCAGACTTTTCCTATGGACATTTTTGGCCCCATTAGCCCACAGAAGCAGGACTCCTAGACACTTCTGTCTGCAATTTCTTTTGCATTTCTATTTTGTGTTTGCTCCATGGAGATATTTAATTTTTTTTTAATCACACAGACACACACACTAAGCCCCTACATGTCTGTAACTTTGTATATTTTTGCTGTTTTGGACCTGGGGTGGTGACAAGAGAGGGTCACTGAATGCACACACTTACAATATAATCTTGGCTGAAAGACTCTGTCGTCTTAGGTCGTTTTACTTAAATTCTCCTCCAGCATCGCTAGTTGACATTGAGAGTGTATGTACTCCAGCCACACTGGCTTTCTTTCAGTTCCTTGAGCTGAACTTGCTCTTGTCTTTGTTTCTTGAACTGAATTTGAACTTGTCCTTCCTATCCCAGAGTCTCCTCATGTGAAATCATGAGGAACTATGCATTTATGTAGAGGTATTCCCTATCTGTATGTCTTGTTAGAAAAGCTTGCTTCCCTGAAGGACAGAATGATCAAGAATTGTGATTGGTGTCTTTGTTTTTGCTTCTGATCTAAGACAGATTTGACAATTTAGAACATGAATACCCAAGAAAGGTTCTGTCATCTTTTAGCTTAAATACTAGGGCTTTTGAAATTTAAATATAGCATGCCTCATTTTGTCAGTGTGGGAACAACCTACAAATATAATCTTATCTGTGACCTTAAATTCTTAAACTTAAGCCTCTGTTTTCTCATCAGTAAAACTGAAATAATAATAGTTCTTTTCACATAGATTATCATGAGGGTGAAAACTGAAACATCTAATTCAGGGTCAGACTCATAATAGGTCCTGAGTTAATATTAACATTCATTTTTGTTATTATAGTTAACATAAATTCAAACTTCATTCTTATGTATGGAGAATGTAAATACTCATAGAGAATAGTTCTGCTTTTTGCCCCTTGGAACTTCTACAGGCATTGTACATGTATCTACCCAGTACTGGTTAGTGTTGTACAAAGGTCCACAAAAGTATACAGTGTATATGTGAATATATACTTTTAGCATAAAAAGTGCCTTCCTTTATACACATTAACAAAATGCTTTTATTTATTCATTTATTTTCATTCTTATTTTTATTTTTTTGAGAGAGAGTGCATGTGTCGTGGGGGAGGGACAGAGGGCAGAGAGAGAGAGAGGACAAGCAGGCTCCATGCCCGGTGCAGAGCCGGACACATGGCCTTGATCTCACGACATTGAGATCATGATGTGAGGCGAAATCAAGAGTAGGACGCTTAACTGACTGAGCCACCCAGGTGCCCCCCAAAATGCTTTTTGAGAAGAATGTAATAGGATATTTAATGTCTGGGCTGCATTTGCAATCTTCAATATCTGGCCTAATCCGTACCTAAAACAAGTGAAATGAGTTGGTGAGTCCTCACCCCTTTCCTGTTCTGCCGGGCCTTGTGCTCTCATGGGTGTAAGTGATTTTTCCTCTTCCGTGCCAGCACCTATCTGTTGGGAGCAGCTGCTTAGAGCCTTGTGTTGGGAAGGATTCTGCGGTTGAGTCTGACCGTCGTGGGAAAGAGCCCCATGTTCTCAGCTACAGCCCTCGGGCATAGGCAAGGTGAATGGCAGCACAGGTGTCGCATTTGTCGCCCATTAGTGATATTAGAGGGTTGAGATCAAGCCCTCTCTGCTAGAGCTTTATATTCTGCTGTTGCAAGAACTTTAGGCAAGTGAAGTTTGCCTCAGTTCTTGATCCATGAAATGGAGACAAAACTCCCCTACTGCTTCCTCTCCAGGGTTGTTATGAGAAAAAATGGAATGTTTTTCCTGGCTAAAAGAGGTTAAAACTCTTTGGAGGAAGATCCTATGTTCATTTATGAAATTCTCACAATTATAGATCAGCTCCCTTTGAACCGAGGCCCGTTCCCGAGCCAGAAGGGAAATGGTCTTGTGTTAGGAATCCCGACAGTCTGCGGAAGAGATGAATCTCTTTGAAGAAAAGCAGAACATCCTTCTGATATAGTGCCTTCATCTGGAGGACGGGAGCCTCTTCTCCCTGAGGAAATCCCCAGTTAAAGGAACCAGCTTACCCAAGGAACGGGCGGTCAGCCCCTTCTGACTGTCTTACTCATACCCTGTTTTTTGTAGTGTGCTAGGTCCATCTTTG